AGTTACCACGTGAAGATCCACGAGAACCGCGACCACCACGGTTATTATTGAAAGACCGGGATCCAAAATAAGCCTGTGGTCATCATGAAGTTGCAGGGTTCAATTGATATCCCAATTGGGAAGCCATGAGTTGAAGATTATGAAGTTGTTGTTGAATGGAGTCGAAATTGGGCTGCTGTAGTGGTGTAGAGGTAGCCGTAAGAGGCTGCTGAGTAGGAGAGGCAGTCGCAAAGAGAGCCTGGGGAACTTGCGGATTTTTTGCCAAGATCCTTGTAATCATATAATCATGGTCACTTAATAAACCATGCAATTCATTGAAGTTGACAGGAGGGGAGCGAGCCAAGAGGTTTGCTTTGAGACCATTGTATTCTTCATGAAGCCCTGCTAGGGTTAGCATAACCAGATCTTTGTCTTTCATTGGTTCGCCTATATTGGCTAGAGCAGTTGCATATTCTTGTGCTCTACTGAGGTATTCGGCAGGTTTTTCATCACCCTTCATGGTGATTCTAAGTAATTGATTTTTAAGAGTAAATTCATGGGATGAAGTAACCGGAGCATACGCTCGTTCTAAAGACAGCCATATCTCTCGAGATGTTTTGCCCTGAATATGTTGAAAGGACTCTTCTGACACAGTAGAGATGATGAGCATACAGATGTGAGCGTCGTTGGAGACCCATGGTTGGTAGCTTGGATTGTCAGTTGTAGCAGATCCGTTTGTAACCTTCGATTCTGGACATGGAATAGTGCCATCAATGTAGCCAAAAAGATTGTGAGAGGTAAGAAAAGATTCGACCATTGATCGCCAATAGCCATAGTTCGTGGGTTTTAGGGTGAAGGCAAACTTGTGAGAATTGTGGGTTGTTTTCTCCTGATTAGTGAGAGTTATGATTGCGGCCATAGTAGCTTGGAAGAGGTGACGGCTTGGAAGAATGCCGCTGGAGGTTTGTGACAGTTGGAGGAGTTGTCGGGGGTTGCATCGGCTGTCTGAAGGTCGTCGGAGGTTGGGAATGGTGCCACCGGAAGTTACGTCGGTCAGACTGGAGATTTTGTCGGCTGAATTGCCAGAAAAAGAAGGGATTTGATTAGCTCTGATACCAAATCAAACCTTGAATTTATTGATTTTTTTGTATATTTAAAAGACAGAATGCGTGCCCTATATATAGGACAGATAATTACACTTTAATACCCTAAGCAGTTACACTTTAATACCCTTAACAATAAGGTTATTTAACTTAGTCTAACATAGAATACAAAGGAATGCAACCTAAAACCCAAAATTTAAATGAAAAGGGCAGGTGAGGCAGAGGGATGCAACTCGTCGGTGTGATAGAATACAAACAGGTTGGCATAATAGAATACAAACCCTAAAACGAGAGATGCAACTCGTCGGTGTGTGAGGCAGAGGGCAGGTGAGGCGGCGACGACTGGCAATGGTGAGGCAGAGGGCGACGACCGACGATGGTGAGGCAGAAGGCGACGACCGACGATGGTGAGGCAGAGGGCGACGACCGGCGGCGATCTGGATCTAGGGGACGACCGATGGCCATCTGGATCTAGGTGACGACCGGCGATGGTGAGGCAGAGGAAGACTGGCGATGGCTTTAGGGGAGTTTTTTTGGAGAACGAGAGATGGGTTGCAAGGGTAAGAAGGTAAAAAAATGGTCGAGTGGATAGGACTCTTCTTGGTGGGCTGAGCGAATCAGCCTCTTTCTGGCCCATTAAGTCACTTCCGAACACTTATATATGGCTTAGCGAATAAGCCATACATGTTATATAGCCTATTAAGTCACTTCCAAACAGCCCCTACGTGAAATCTAAATGGATAAAAAGCGAGGGAGGGCCCAATAAGTAATAAAAGCAAAAACAATTTGTTCGAGTCGAAATTCCACATCTGATTGGTTTGAGCTTGACCTCCAAAAGTCAAAAGTATCTGGATATCCTAGTTCAAATCGAAGGAGGAATAAAAATCCCCTTGTGGCCATGGAAGTTCAAATACGGTGACTCCGGACTACCGCAAAGCAGGTAGTCATCCTGGGATTAGTCGGCTCGCATAACGAGTTTGGATACCCAGGTTAATAAAAAAAATCCGTCGGTAATCCATTCATACAAAATTATTACTTTTTTATTTTTTTATTTTTTATATGTTTTTCTACGTGTCGATCGTTAATTATCAATGGATGAGTGGTGGGATACGTTATAAATCATAAATTTAAAAGTAAGAAAAATTTAAGATCCATCGGTAACCAGTAACTATTACACACTTTGTGTGCATGGTCAGTTTAGCCGGAAGCTTCATATGGAAACAGATATTTTCTATGTCTTATACCATATCTTGCGGAATAGGTATGGGACCTGATGAGGAATGCCTGTAGGTCTGAGAAGCGGGCATTTATTGTCGATAACGTATGGTCAGGACCTAATGTTAATTTTATAAATGTTAAAATTGATTGGTTAACCGAAAGTTTGACCTGCAAACTGTTTTGGTTCGGGTGAGTTATTCGGTTTTGGATTTCTTATACCCAAGAGCCTCCAGTCGCCTAAGTTTCTGGATCCGTCACTGGTTGACCTAATTGGATCATGTGAAAGGGGTACTACAAGGCTGGTTTAAAACATCGTGTTGAGAATTTAATTTTAAGAGTGTAACACCTAACTGATTAATTATAAATACATAATTAGCTAATAGATGCTCGTACATGATGATTTTAAGAGATGAACGAACATTTTACTTCGCTTCTCATTTGTATTATCTTTCTGTTTTAAAATAAGTGTTCATAATGAAAAAGACGTCTGAGTTTCGGAAATTTACAATTATTATAATTTTAAATATAACTAAATGAAAATTTATTTGTAATAATAAAAATGGAGAGAAACTTTTACATCTCATAATTAAAGGTGGAATGAAAAAGTAGACATTTACATTTAAAATTATACATTTATTTTCAGACAAACTAAATAAATTGTAGAAATTTATTTTGCGATGAAAAATGTAATTTTCATGATCCCTACGTTATTGGTTCATCGAAGTTAGATATGTATACACACACATATAGACTTGGGATCTTATGAGACCGCCTATTTTTCATAAGACCTATGAGGCCACATCAAGGGGCTGTTTACCAAATACTTATCCGGTAAGCGTTTACCGTGGTAAGAGTCGTCGTATTCACTTCCCGGGTAAGACTTTTGGTCTTTGTCTCTTTTTTACCAGGTAAGATTCTAGATCCTTACCATATTCATCTGGTAAAGTAATATGACTTGATGTTCACTTATCCGAGTAAGCATTTGATAAACGGCCCCTAAAACCACCTAGTTAGGAAAGAGGAACATGTGAATGTTGAATAACCCAACCGAACCTGAACTTTTGTCCGGTTAAACAATTCGGGTTATTCGTTATTAAGTTTTTCGATTTGGGTTTTGATTAATTCTTACGATTTTGTTTTTTATATTTTATACTTATAATTACCTTAAATTAATAAATAGTAATTACATTTAAACCTTTCTTCTCCCACCTCACTACAGTTTTCAAGTTTATATTTAAATATTTATTATATTCATGTTTATAAATTATCTTAAAATTTGACAAAACCTTAAATAATATAAAATCTTTATTTGGTTTAAACCAAATAACCTTAAACCTATCAAACCAAATCTTGCTCAGTATGATTATCAGTTAGGGGTCGTTTACCAAACACTTACCCAATAAGCACTTACCAGTAAAATTTAACACTATCAGTTACTTACCAGGTAAGACTTTAGTCCACCAAAACGATATCGTATGCAACAATTTACCCGATAAGCGATTACTGTGGTAAGAGTCGTCTCCCTCACTTACCAGGTAAGACTTTTGGTCCTTGTCTCGTTCTTACCAGGTAAGATTCTTGGTCCTTATTATATTCATTCGATATGGTAATGTAACTTGGTAAGCGTTTATCCGGGTAAGCGTTTGGTAAACGGCCCCTTAGTATGGAAACTCAAATAAGTTAAAAACCCGGATAAACCGACTGAATAACACCCCTACTTGAAAATGTTTGGGTCACTGAAGATGAGATGGTTGATCAAAATCAACGAACTTCCGATTCATAATCTACATGTTCCTTGGAACTCAATGAAGCCTCAAGTTGGTAACGGATATGCATCATCCTCAGTGTTCAAGAATTGCTCGATGAAACATGCGCTTGCAAATTGCTTTCAACTTAGACGTGCTACTTGTCTTATTTTCATTCATACGTTGTTTTGTTATATAATTACTAACTATTCAAAAAACAACAAAGACAAGTTGCACCTGTGCAACATACTAATAATCAAGAGTTGATGTGCATATCAAGAAATGTGTTTCATAAATATTACAGGCTGTTTGATTCATGGATTTGGATGGAACTGAAAGGAATTGGAATGGCCAAATCCTTTGACCAAATTCCTTCCAAAAACAATGCTTGGTTTATGGAATAAAATTGATGGAATCCTTTCAATTCCAATAAATTCATTCACTCACAGATTTTGCATTCCACGACAATACCATTGGATTTTAATTTCTTTCCGAAAAATTCCTTTCCTAATCCAAATTCATTCAACGTTGCATCTACCATCTCATCTAATTGATCTCTGGTTCGATCTCTATCTGGTACGCTCTCACACACACACACACACACACTCTCTCTCTCGTAATTTCTCCATTTATACGAGATCGATAGACAACATATGTATCAAGGAATCGATTCAAGATAACTAGCTGTCGATATCACTAGTCCAATTCCGTTATTCAAAAATCATAAAAGGTCATTTATTGATATTTAATTCCGATTCCAAAGTTGAATTCCGTAAACCAAACAAAAAAATTCTAATCCGTTAAGAATTTCATTCCAATTCCATGCAACCAAACGCAATCACAAGACATGGTCAAATTCCATCAAATTCCCTCAAAGTCAAATTCATTTGATGAATTCCAATTCCATCGAATTCCATTCTACGAACCAAACGCCCCCTTACTTTCATAGGTTATGGCAATAATGGGAATCTGTTTAAATGGGTATATTGTCCACAGAACATGCATTTACAAGAATTGGCAAGTTTCTAGGATCCCTTGTTCTGGTGCAGTTGCAACAATATACATCATTCACCTATACCCAAATAAGTTTGTGCCCCCTTGTTTTCGATGATAAAAATTTCTTTAAAACATACTCACAAGATCAATTCTTTAGATGGACTCGATCTTTGGCCAATGACAAATTTTATCAAACCTTTGTCGCCAAATCCAGACGCACATCTGACAGGCCTACAATAGCCAAAAAGAAAGACGCTAGTTAAAGAGGTAGTCAAAGGAAGAAAATGCATACGACCATGAAGTAGAGGGAGGAAGATGACTTGCAAAAATTGATGGAGGCAGGAGACAATTCTTGGAGTTGTAAAACCAAAAGAAAGATGTGTTGATTCCGCCAAAAATCTAGTTTGTAGACCGATAAAAAGCACTAGACAAGAGGAGGATTTGGTGATTGGAAGCAAAACTGAGGAAAGGGTTCAAGACGTACAGGTTCAGAGGATACTATGATAAAGGTAAGTTCAATGGACGGGATTCACATTGCGCTTGAATATATGTGTGTGTGTGTGTGTATCAAATGATTATAACCGAAAATATGTCTACTTTGTAGACTTCACATGTAGAATTTGAGTCTGCATTTACTGTATATATGCGTGCCTTACCTCATTATATTACTTGAGTCATGTCATAGTTAACAAGTCAGTCATCAAGTAATTGATGTCCTTAAATGTGTCAAAAGTTTGTTATAGGCTCTAAAATTTAAACTTCATCCTCTAAACTAGTAGTCAGCCCAAAGTTGGCTCCATTTTAATACAATTTTTCCTATCTCGAATAAAATAAAAGGTTTACACAAGTTAATCTTGGTTGTACTAACCTCTACTCCTTCCAACTGAGAGATGAAAGCTACAAGAAACTAAGAAACACGGCATACTCAACAAAATAGGTTGAGAAAGAGGGTTCTTACTTGCGATCATGCATGAATGATATTTTATCACGAAAAAAATGCAGAAAATATTGATCTCCCGAAAGGGCTCGTTTCATTTTGAAGCTAAATCACTATCGGCTTTCTCTAATGCTCGGACAAGATGAGTTATACGATAACGGAGTTTTGCATTTTCTTCTGTAACCCACTTCACCTCCTTCAAAGCCTGAAGAAAGGTAGAAGACAAATAGCTTAAAATCACTCTTCAAATCTTAAAGAGAGAAATATGATATACTACTCCCTATGTCCCAAAAAAATGCAACATTTCCATTTTTGGTAAACAGGCTTACTTCCTCCCTCCCAAAATAAGTGTCTATTTTCCAATTCTATTCTTGTTTATAAGATGAAGAAATTCATTACTCCCTCTATTATTAAGGATAAAATCGTCATTTAGTTAGGAAAAAAGATTAACAATTACACATTTCTAAACCTATGCTTTTTTCATTGTGGACGTTTATTTTGGGATGATGGAAGTAATTTAATTTCACCTATTTGCCCTTATCGATTGTCTTTGTCAAGGTGCGATTTAGACATTTGATCAATACTCAAACCTATTGATTAAATACATGTGAAATCAAAGGTCACGTTTTCTGCCAGACGGAGGTAGAACAATGGTTCACCTTTTCTCTTTCAGCAAGTTGCTCTGCTTTTGCATCTTCTAACATTCTTTGCATTTCGGCTACTTTATTTGATAGCTCCTCATTTCCAGAGTCTGCAACTACTCAATCCCATAAAAAAGAATACATAAAATTACTAGAAAACGAAATCAAACAGTTACGATTATGCTTCAGAACAAGACTAAAAGACTAACTTGGTGAGGTTATTAAGAACCCACCTTTCGTCGTAGCAATGGCAGCTTCAAGTCTTGCCAACCGTTCCTATGGATCAAACACAAGCTAGTTAAATGAACTTCTTATATAAAAGGAGAACTATGCTCAACCATGTTTTAAAGCTAAATAAATGTAAATATGCATGTGTAGTCTGAGGATGTAAATTCACAAAGGGGACCGGACGGCAAGAGTGAGGTAGGCAGGTGGAAGAATTGTAGAAGGGTTTAGGGTTTTATTATTTTAATTTGACATTTGTAGTTTAGTAATTTACCAATCTTGTACCATCACCCTGACTCTTGTTCCACCTACAAAAAAACTGTATTTTTCTCCCACTCAATTCTGTCATATTCCTCTCTAATGTCGCACCATACGTGGAACAACAAGTTTTTGTTTTGTCTTGTCCAACGTACCAAACACGCCCTCAACGATCAATCAATAGACAGCCCATCATGGACAGAAGAAGACAGATCAAGTGGCTCCTAAGTAGCATCCTCCCAACGACTTTGAACTGGATGCGATGACCTTCTCTATGATTAAAAAAAGAATTCATAAAAAATACCCCTAGATTAAGACTATCGCATAAAGTCCGAATAGGCACTTTGTTCAGGCCAAAATTCTCTCCAGCCGCTCTTACTGTCTTACATGAATTCTAAATGAACTCTTGGGTTCCCCTCCTTCACCCCCACTCATGACCAGACTACCAGCCACCCATAAGCATGGTTTTAAAAATCGTTCAAGGCGTAAGCCTCTAGACGAGGCAACCCAAAACCACACCTGAGGCGGCACCTCTTGGACCCTGGAGGAGGCTTACGCCTTGGTTCAGTGAGGCGGTTTGGTGTGGCGTGAGGCGGTATCAAGGCGTACACCTCAGATTATCTGCTTTGGTAATGGGGTTCTGACTTACTTTTATAAGCTTTATGGCAGTAGTACTTATCTTATAATACAAGAGTCTTCTTATTTTAAAAAACTAAAAAGTCAAAGTCCAATGGCCCCAATGTGTACTTTTAATATTTTAAAACCCAAAAAGCAAGTATTTTCTTATCTCAACCAAAAAGTGTGGTTTGACGCTCCCACTTCCTCCAAGCAACCAATTTTTCCACACCCTCCAGCCTATCCCACGATTTCACTCTTTCCTCTGTCAAGAACCACTCAACCACGGCCTCTTAGTAATTTAGTATATACATTTGTGTAGTCTATATATTTCCGCCTTGGGGCTTACGCCTCAGACCACCTCGAGGCTTACGCCTCGCCTCGCAGAGGGAAAACGTCTTGAGAGTTGAGGCCCAATTCCGCCTTTTAAAATCTTGCCCATACGCAAATTCGTCCCTCTAGAACCTAATTTTATCACCATTCATCGGTAAACCATGATTAAGACCAGACTATTACAATACTTAGTTATTGATCTAACTCAAAAAAAAACCTTCTACTGCCTTCTATTAAGGGAACCGGTTTCCTACTTCAATATTTCATTAATTGTCCCCTAGAAATTCATAGACCTTGATAAAAAAAATATTAAAAAAATTAGAAAACCAGGCGCTTAACCTCCATGGGATTAGAAACCAAACCCCAATAGATGGGGATGAATACACAAGACATTGACATTCAAAAAGAACAACCATAATTACTTTTCTGATCGAAACACTGATGGAACTCTCCTAAAATTATGTCACATATGAATGAGCAACCAAGCCATGATGAAGACTGTCTGTCCTCTGAATGCTTAAGAAAGAAACTTGGTGACCTGATAAAAAAAAAAAATTTCTAGACTTACTTCCCCTGTTTACCTCTTTTAGCAGATCCCCCTCTTCCCAAAAAGATTACAGTAACAGATTCTTTTTTAATCCTCATTCACCTTTATTGAGTTTATTCTAGTTAAGCGTTTGTGTATTTCTCACTTCAATATCAATCAAAAAATCTCTCAAATCCACAGCATCACCCTTATATGCAATAATCAAATACTTCAAGTAGTAGTAGTTGTACATCCCTACTGTTAACTTTGTGCAATCAGAGTTCATAAAGATGAATTTGTTACTATCAAGGGAGAGGTCCAATCAAAAAGCTATATACCCCTCAGTAAAAACTAAGATTCTAATGAACTGATGGCTTCTGATCATAAATAAGTATGAGAGCTTGGTGCAGTGAAGGGTAGATAGAAGTCTCATGGCAAGAATCCATAACACCCCAAGAAACTGTAACCTATATTCATCGCCACAATAATCCATTTCCGTACCAAAATTAAGCTTAACAGAAGAGATCATAGCATCTTTGTTAACAACGTTACGAATGAAGAATGTATTGTGAAGTTGAGCGAAATAAAATGAAATTCGAGGTTAATGTCATCCATAACACCCCAATAGAAGTTAAAGAAACTCTAACCTGTATTCATCGCCACAAGAATCCATCAAGTCTAATCTATGATTACTTAAGATAGTAATCGCCAAAAAAGGGGATAGAAAGGGAGGGAGGAAAATCGAGAAAAAGGAAGATCCATCAGGACAAACCAACGCCATTCATCAATGTATTATACATATATAATCCAAACCCTTGTGTACATCCATACATATATGTAGATATATATATATTAAGAATCTATGAAAAACTCTTGTCAATTTATATCATAAAACCCTAATGTACATCCATACAAACAAAAACGATGAACACACTAGGATCAAATAGAAGATATCATGGTTACTAACCTCAGCATCGGAAGCCCTTTGATGAAAGGGTTTTAGGGCTGCTTGAATATCATTTGACGTCGCCATGTTTATCTCTTATTCTCTGTCGCTCACATCAAAGCCCTAAACCACCACAGTGAAGATCGAGAGAACCAGACCGGAAAATTAGTTCGACCGGATAACTAGAGTCCTTATATTTTCCAATTTGGCCCTCTTAAAATTGAAAATTACTACTCTCACCCCTATAACTTTTTCGGGATTACAATTTAGAGATGCACAAAACTACAAAGAGAAATGAATAATGGCTTGACCTGATTCGGGACCGGACCAAAAGAAACAGAATATATTGAAACCGGTTAATATCAGTTAAGGCTTGTTTGTTTTTACTTTATGAGCTTAATCGCTTATCATTCAATATCAGATAATAATTTATGTTATGTTTACTTTTTAAGCAATAACAACAAAAAAAGTTGAATCTGATAAGTCATCATACATCTTACCCACGTTCACTCATAGTTTGGGGGGGGGGGTACGAAAAAACCGTTAACCAGCGAAACTCGCCCAACCTAACCTACTAACAACTCAATTAAACTCAACTCGTCAAACCACTAATTAATGTTTGAATACAGTCAAAATGAATTTGATACAAGAAACATCGTAAAATTTATTGGTTATAACTTTTTTATCCCATAATTTTTTGCACGGTGACGGTGTCAAACTTTTTATCTCATAGAAACAAGACGCTTTTATATACGAGTATATATAGATGATTATTATCGAGATATGCTCAATAAACTTATATGCAGTAAACTTTTTATATACGAGTATATATAGATGACTTGTTTATCGAGATGCCAGATAACATAATATATTCATAAACAGCAAAACGACACTACACCGGTAAAACTCAATTTTCTCATACAATGCCACAAGGATCGTTTGCAGAATGTGCACAAACTCTTCGTATTACTATAAAAAAAAAGGTCATTGTACGCAATCTTTTCAAAATTCGAACACTTGCCCTTACATCAAACATTAAGAAATTGTCGAATATATTTTATTACAATCAAAACACCACAAAAGTAATACAATAAACATGAAAAAAAAACACGGTTTTGTGCAAGTATACCATTCCGGAACCAACAGTACTACTACGCCCTGATGGCAAAACAAGCAAAGTTGAATAACCGAAAGGCAAATACATCCAAAGGAACAAGTCTACGTTAAAAGAGATTGTAGATACAAACCCTAAGCAACGAGAAAGGGCAAAACGGTCAACATGAACGTTTCATATGAGAACGTAGCAGACCCCGAGTACGTTGTGTCCTTCTCCTTGAACTTTTCCGTTAGCCCCTGCAATCACCGTAAACCACATCAAATATATAACGCTTCATAGCTACTCTGCAACCAACTACAAGAAACGAGACTTTGACTTTCAGTGTCAAACACTCCAAAGCTTAAATTTTTTGCCAAAATAGGAAACCCAACCCAACCCAATATATCACACCCGAATCTCGGGTATAAAATAGAGATGCACAAAAAAGCCCAACGCTAAAACTCTACGAAAATCCCGGTCCTAGTAAGCCCGAGCCCAGGCCAGACCCGGCCTTAAAACCTGATCAGGCTAACTTTACTTCAAGGCCCAGTCAAACCCTAGCATAAGAAAAGCTCAAAAAAGCCCGAGCTTTTCTTTGCAAACTGACAACGGGCTTGGAACGTTTGGGCCAGAAAAACCCTAGGCTTTGTGCATCCCTAGACTGAAAAGGTAAGATTTACGTAGATAATTTGAGACAGACTGTTTCCGACAATTTTCATGAAATGTAGTAACCGAGCTCATGGCTCGAAATTTGACCAAAGGGATGATAGTTTTCCCATATCTGAGTTCGTTCCATACCTTAACAGTCAAGCAGCACCTGAAAACATGGAAAACGAAGGTTAGAGACGAGATTAAGCAAAAATTATCATGGGTACATTAAACGGTTGTCATAGCAACGTACTCGATGAAGTTATCGTATTCAATAGCCTTGTTCTTTCCACCGGTTTTGTCGAATTTGGAGACCAGCAAATCCAAAACCACAGGTGAAACAGCAAAGCCCAGGCTCATGAGAGCTTCTCTCAGTTCATTGGCATCGATCTTGCCACTGCGATCTCGGTCGAATTTTTCGAAATTTGCCTGCGAAACGTACAAGAAATACGAAATTTATCGGTTTGATACCAAGTTAAAGAACGAAAAAACTCGAAACAATCAAGAATTCCCATTAATACTCACCCTCCAGTTCTGTAGACTGTAGAAAACTTGAGTAAATTCCTTAGGTCCTGATTCCATGAAGAACAGCCATAAGTCAATAGAGACACTACTAGCCATAACAAATTATGTATATATATATATATATATATATATATATATATATATCTATACTACCTTATAAACCAGATTTATCAAAAGTCTTAAAAACAATTTTTAATGCACAAAGTTTATGTACAAAGTCTTAAAAGTCTTAAAAACAACTCATAATGCATTAAGTACTATTACTTTATGCATTCAGTCTTAAAATCTCTTAATCTACAATTAAAATAACATATGAAACAAGTTACCAATGCACATTATTGTCTTTTCTTTTCATGTACCCAAGATACTTTTGACACCTTTCACTCATGCTTTCACCCTCTCATACCTCTATGTCTTCTCCTCATCCCCAAGGTGAGATTTAAACTGATATTCACCATGTGTTATTAAAAATTCTCTCGTTCAATTGCTCTAGCACTCTCGGTTTCGCTCTCGATCTCTTGATTTTGTGCTCTTGGTGTAAATCGAACACATTTGTGGAATCATTTAAATATGTTGGATTTTAAATATATTAGATTTTAAACTGTCATACAATTTTTTTCATCGATTGACTGAAATTGGAACCATAACTTTTATTTATTCAAGTTGTAAATATGTAAAGACCAAATGTAACTTATATCATCGTTAAATCTTCTCTGATAAAACATGTGAAACTTCAAAATCGTTAAAATTCACGGCTCCCGCCGCATTGCACAGATACACAACTAGTATATATATAATCCATAAAAGGGTTAACCGTGAAAACTAGTACATCATGTATTATTTTACATGATTTTTTCATTTAACTAAGGTAATATTTAACATATATTACTTTCACCATGTGTGTTTTATATGTTTTTGTGAAATAAAAGGGTACACATAAAAAAAAGTTTCACAATGTGAAATAAATACATTATAAAACAAATATATGTTAATGGGAAAAGTACAATAAAAACCAATGAACTTTCTTGTTTGGAATGATTAAGTCCTTGAACTTTTTTTTGGAACAAATAAGTCCTTGAACTTTCCAAAACATGTTAAATAAGTCATTGGACAATTTTTTGGCACAAATAAGTCCTTGGACATTCTAAAATATGTTAAATAAGTCCTTAGACATTCCAAAAAATGTTAAATAAGTCATTGAACAATTTTTGGAACAAATAAGTCCTTGAACAATCCAAAACATGTTAAATAACTTCTTGAACTTTTATAGAACATGTTGGATACATTCTTATGACTTGTACAACTAGTTAAAATGGTAATTATTTTTTTGTAAATGTAAGTACTTTTTTGTTATATTTGTTTAATTTTATAGATCTACATACTTTTTGGTTCAAAAAATATTTAGGGGCTTAATCGTTCAAAATATGAATGTTCATTGAGTTTTTTTCCGGATTTTTTTCATTATTTTACCACTTTATTTTTTTCAAAAAGTTATTTAACATGTCTTGGATTGTTCAAGGACTTATTTGTTCCAAAAATTGTCCAAGGACTTATTTAACATTTTTTGGAATGTCCAAGGACTTATTTGTTCCAAAAATTGTCCAATGACTTATTTAACATATTTTGGAATGTTCAAGGACTTATTTAACATGTTTTGGAAAGTCCAAGGACTTATTTGTTCCAAAAAAAAGTTCAAGGACTTAATCATTCCAAACAAAAAAGTTCATTGATTTTTATTGTACTTTTCCCTATGTTAATCAATACATTAAATCATAGCAAAAAATGAAAATTTTTGTTTTGAAACATACTTTTAGGTAAAAAATTTCACGGTTATCATAATATATAAAGTTCTTATTTAATTATTCCCCATAAATAATTGGTTCTCGTGATTTTTAAAATATTATATATTATAATTCTTGTATTATTTTTGTCGAACGTAACTTTAGCAGAATCGACTAATTCAGAATTAACATCGGATTGTGGGGCCACACGTGAACAGACACGTCACCATCTGTGGTGAAGTAGTTGATCTAATACCGGCCCCACATAATCCAGCATGGAGCTAAACTAGTGGGACCCGCACTACGCGTTAATGCTGACATCAAATAATGCGGACCAATACTAAAATACGCGGCTGAATAAAAGAGGACAACTACTAAAATACGCGGCTCACGGTTAACCCCAATTCAATCGCCGATCACAAATCGAAACAGCACCGAGCAAAATCGAAATCAGTGTGTGTTTGTGTGAGAGAGAAAGGGAAATTTAGAGAGAGAGAGATTTGTACCGATCTTTCTAGTGTTGGTGTTAGTGAAGAGATACATGAGAAGATGAACAGTACGGATACTGAAGCTTTGATTGTACGACGATAACGCCCTCTGCAATTCCTTGTCGTCGATAATACCACTTCCATCCTGATCGGCGGCCTGGAAACACGCCACCACACTAGGATCTGTCCCCGGTGGGAACGTCGACGGCAGAAGCGCCGAAAACGGGCTGCCGTACGACCCTGGTGCCGGTGGGTAGCCACCGCCGGGTTGAGGAGCACCGTAAGGGGATGATGAGGGTTTGTTGTGGTCTTTTGGGGGTTTAGTTTCTGGGTGTGCACCGTAAGGGGCTGATGGTGCTGGTGCTCCGTAGGGACTGGCTACGGGTGCGTAAGGCGAAGGTTGACCATGGGGAGGCTGTGCGGCACCATAGGGCTGTGCCGGAGCTCCGTAGGGTTGTGCTGGGGCGCCATAGGGTTGGGCCGGAGCACCGTAGGGTTGTGCTGGGGCGCCATAGGGTGTGGAGGAGTAGGGTTGAGACGACGGTGATGCACCGTAGCCGGGTTGAGACGACGGTGGTGCACCGTAGCCGGGTTGGTTATGTGGGTATCCAGACATGATTTCTTCTTGGGGATGGAGGATGGAAGAGAAGCAAGAAATGTGTTTTTGTGAGAAAGGGGTTATTATCAATTGCTGATATATGTATATGGGTGTGATGTGAGATTACCAAAATACCCTTTGAATGATCGCCGCATAAAAATGAACCTTTTTCGTTTTCATACGTTACATATATATATTTTGTCTAATAATATAATATGATATGTTTTTGTTGACGAACAACAAAATTTATATTATATTTATATTTTTATAAAAAACATTTTTTCAAATAATAAGATAAAAAATTTATTTTTGAAACAAAAAAAAAAGATCGCTTTATTTTGTGTGTTGAAAACGATTGAAGGGTTGAGGTTAAATAAGTCAATTTGAGCAATTTAAATTATATTTTTGATCACTACAGTTAATTAAACTATTGAATAAGTTTTTAAAATGTATTATTTACATTGATAGTCCAAATATATTACTTTTTAATAAAGATTGTGTTCCTAATGTTAGCAGCACTTGTTTGTGCTCCATTAATTATCTCATGTGCGTCTTACATGAGGTGAAGCAATTGGTGACTCCCTCCTCTTTACCCTGATTTGAAACCCTAACAAAGTGTTTGGTTTATAGAATGAAATTTGATGGAATTGGAATCTATCAAGAGAATTTGACTTTAAAGGAATCAGATGGAATTTGATAACGCCTTTGGTTGGTAGGAATTGGAATGAATCTCTCAAAAGAATTGGAACAATCGTCTTGTTTGGAGTATCTCACCTATCGCCTCGCCCACACCCTACCAACCACCATATCGCTATTGTCATTGTCATAACTATCATCCCCGCCCCCACCCTTAAACAAACCCTGCCCCACCACCCCCAACCCGCCCCCACCATTCTTGCCCCACCCCTGCTTCATAGGTGGGGGTTGTTAGGTCTAAGCAGGGTTGGCGCGAGGTGGTAGGGGTGGGACAAAGTAGGGTAGTGGGTGTCAGGGTGGTAGTTGTGACGACTACAGTGGTTAGTGGTGGGTTAGAGTAAGGTAAGGTGGGGGTAGGGTGGGTACGGGTAGGTGGTAGAGTGGTAGCTGTGACGATGATAGTGATGGGATAGTGGTCTGGTGGCTGGGGCCTAGGAGTGGGTGGGTATGACAACAACAATAGTGGCATGATGTTTAGTGGTGGATTAGGATAGGGGTGGGGTGCGGGTGAGTGGTTGTTGTGAATGCGACAATAGTAGTGTAGGGGTAGGGAGTTAGGTTAGGGGTGGGGTGGACAATGGGGATGGGTGGCAGCTGTGACGACGATAGCGGTGGGATGGTGGTCGGGTGGCTGGGAGTGGGTGGGTATGACGACAAAAGTAGTGGGGATGGTGGTTAATGGTGGGTTGGGGTTGGGGTTGGGGTTGGGGTA